TCATATAGGTATCCTCTCCTTTGACCCACAAGGAGCTTCAGACCCAGAGATGTACAGGGGCTTTCCCAGGTCACCCAGCAAGATTCAGTCACTTCGATTCAGTCACAGGCCTTTGGCCTCTGAGGCCAGCACTTCCACCTTAGCCTCCTGGAAGAACTGAAAGGCTTATCTTTTTAAGTCCCATCGCTCCTTGCACATAGTAGGTTCTAAATAAATGTTGATTTGTCTGATCCAGGGTAGACCCAGCCCTGGGTAGGGAATAAGCTGCCCCTTGCAGTGCCATGTTCCAAGGCTGTGGGTCTCTCTTTGTGCATGCTACTCTCCCTAGGCCTACTGAATGAACTTTTCCTCCCGAATCTTTTCCTTTCCAGCTGTGTCCCACCCCTCGACTGAGCTAGATATGCAGAAGCCAGATGTGATCATCAAGAAGTTAGAAGAAGTCAGGCAATTGCACCGGGACATCGAGGAATTACGTACCGCCATGTCTGACAGATATGCCCAGGACATGGGAGACAACTGCATCACCCAGTGATGACCCAGGAAATAGGAGGAAGCAGCCAGAGGAGAGGCCAGGCCAGTGACTGCCTCTTGATTGTTGTGAGGGAGTGATGAATGACTTAGAAAGCCCCCTGCCAAGGATATGTCTTCTCCTTCAGGAACATGTTTATTGGCACTTGCCAGTCCAGATTTGTGCCCCTGGGTGGTGATGGGGGAGATCGAGTTAATCATTAACTGGTGCTCCCTGGGCACAACCTGCTGTCCAGGAAAACCCTGCTCTTGCCTCAGGCTCCGGTCAGAGGAAGCTGACCTGTTGCCTCACTACCCCATCCTAGCCGATGGGGACCAGGATCAATTTTACACATTCTTTAAGGGGCGGGGCTAGAACGAGTCTCTTGGACACTTGCTGTGATTGCCCTCAGATCATTAACAGCAAGGATTCTCCATGCCTCCCCCTGCCCAGGATTGTGGTGCCCAGGCACAGATCTCCATCTTTTCCCCACAGGGTTGACTAAGATGAGATATCTAGGAGGGGAAAGGAAGGAAGGAAGGACCCTTCTCATCTGGGGGGCCAAGGAGAATCCCACATATCTCAGGGTCTTTTCATTTAGCCAAGTCCCCATAGCATTGTAAAGGGGAAGTGGATTACTTGTCACTCTTGTGCCTTAATTCTTCTCCCTCTCACCTCCCACCCCCAACTAAGTTGGCCACCAAGGTCAGATTTTCAACCTGGCATTGTGGGTGTACCTAGCTACGTAGCAGACAAAACCTGCTCGCTTTCTTGGTCTTCATTTTTAGTCTCTGCAAGCAGGAGGGGACTGGATGCTGTTGCTGGGAGGAATGGTGCAGCTGGTCTTCACCATCCTTCAGCCAGGCATCTGCTCCTCTGTGGTGCCTGTGGGCAAGTTGCCTGGGTTCTTGGGTAGTCTCCTGTCCATCCTTTCCTGCCCTGTTGGGTTAGGAAAAGCCCCTCCCACCTTGAGGGAAGGCCTGAGTGTGTTGGCTCCCCTGGAAAACCCTCAACACTGATGCCCACGCAGGCTGTGGCACCTCGGGTTCTAGATCTTTTAGCTGTTAACACGTTGACTTCGTAGTTCCAGGTGCAGTTTGTATTTGAGTTGTTCACAGGGCCTGTTATGTTGGGGGGTTTTCTTCTGTTAGCGAAGCCTTGGATCAGCCCCCCTTTTTCATCTTTCCAGTGTGCCTGGCTCTGTGTGCTTGTCCTAGGCGTACATGTGAGAAGCCACGTGATCACAGCTGGCCTGGGATACTTCGGAATGAGGAGCAGGCCCGTGGCATGGTTGGTGCAGATCCTTGCTGCTCCAGGAGCTTGCACGACCCTGACTCTGGGCTTCAGGCCAGTGAGCAGATCGGGGAGATCCCCTTCCCCAGTTGCGTTTAATTTATAGGATGTGTTCAGGGAAAGCTGCTGCAGCTGCTGAGGCTGCCTCCCTCCCCCCTCCCTCGGCCTCGGGCATCCTCCGTAGTCAAAGCCAAGCTGCCTTCTTGTTCTTCACCGGGGACTGGGAGCCAGGGTGGAGCTCAGGACTATTCTTCCTCAAAGTTTATAAGCACAGATAAAGTATTTATATGAATCTTTGTTATATTGACTGGTTTGTATTATTTTGATTACAAAATAAAAAGATTTAACTGGCTGCACAGGTTTTTATTCTTCCTCCTCTCGCTCTTACAGAGAACAAAGGTGGGCCCTGGACCCTTGGGCAGGAGCAGGCCCGGGGCGCTGGGTCTGTGCCGGGCAATCAGCAGTGCCCTGGGGGGGCCTGGGACCCGGGGCCTCCACTCGGGAGCCCCCCAGAAGGTGTCTGCGTCCAGCCCTCACCGCCTCTAGCAGCCTTCAGAGGGGAAACGGGCTTCCCCCGGCCGGGACGCGCGGGGTGCTGCAGCCCAGGCTCCGGCCCTGGAGCGCAGGGAGCTGGGGGGCCGCGCAGGGGCTGACGGCCGCCGCCGCTGCCCTGCCTCCGTCTCGGGGAGGGCGGGGGTGTTTGTGCGAAGCCTGGGGAGGCCCGGCCCGGCTGCGCCTGCCCCTCCGCACCTCCCACCGCATCCCCCTCGGCCCCGGCTCGGGGAGGGCCCTCTGAGGCAGGGGCCGGGAGAGCCCACGAGACCCCAGGCCACGGGCTGCCGGGGGCTCGGGGCCGAGCGCGCCACCCCGTCCCCCGCCCTCGCCGCGGAGGCTGAAGGGGAGGCTCCGCCCCCAGCCGCCCTCCGGGCCCGCCCATTGGTCCCGAGCGCCTCTGACTCACGGGGCGGGGCAGGAAGGAAACCCCTCCCGAGCGCCGCGCGGCCGCCGCCTACTCCGCCTCGTCCTGCTCCTGCTCTGCTCCAGCTCCTGCCGCTGCTGCTGTTGCTGCTCCTGGTCCTCCGTCCGTTCGTCCGTCAGTCCCTCCGTCTGTCCAGCCCGGCCCAGCCCGCGCAGCCCCAGAGCAGCTCTGCTGTCCCCGCCCTCGCGCGTCCCCCCAGCCCGGCCCGGCCACAGCATGAGCGGCCTCCGGGTTTACAGCACCTCAGTCACCGGTTCCCGGGAGGTGAGCGAGGAAAGAAAGAGGGGGTGGAGCGGGGAAAGAAAGAGGGGGCGGAGCGGGGCCGCTTGTCGCGGGCTGCTGCTGCGGGACCCCGGAGTCCGGTGAGCCTCCCCCGCCTTTCCTCCCGCAGCCGGGGCGCTGCCCGCCGGCCGCGGGGCCGGGCCTCCTCAGGGGGCGGGGCTGGGGGCTCCGGCTCAGAGCTGACCCCACCCCTGCTCTGGTTCCCCTTCCCTCCGACACCCCGCTTCCCAGCTTGCCCGGGGAGTATGCCCCACCCCGGCGGTGCCTCCAGATGTTGGCTGGCATGGACTCCCCCTGCCCCATCGTCCCGAGCCCCCGCCCCGCATCCCAGGTTCTCATTACTCTCGGACCCGCACATGCACACGTCTACCGCGGGTGTCCCCTGACTGTCCTCTCCCGCTGTTGCTTCTCTTTCTCCCCCAGCTACAATGCCCCCGGTTCAGTGCCCCCACCATCCTTCCCCTCTTGGCTCCCCTAGATCAAATCCCAGCAGAGTGAGGTGACCCGCATCCTGGATGGGAAGCGGATCCAGTACGAACTGGTGGATATCTCCCAGGACAACGCCCTACGGGAGGAGATGAGGAACCTGGCTGGGGACCCCAAGGCCATCCCACCCCAAATATGCAACGGGAACAAATACTGTGGGGTAAGGGACTCCAGGGCGGGCTGTAGGGGTTGTGGAGACAGGCAGGACCCCGAAAACCCGGCGCTCAGGGTGCCCTTTCTTCCCTAGGACTATGAGCTCTTCGTGGAGGCTGTGGAACAGGACACCCTGCAGGAGTTCCTGAAGCTGGACTGACCCCCCACCCCATAGACTGACCAACATTCCCTCTCCCCACTTAACTTCCTCTCCCAGCCATGAAGGACCCTGGGACCAATTTCTATACCTGTACTGTATATGAGGGTTCCAGTTCCTAATCCCATCTCCCCCTCCCTGACTCTGCGCCTACCTGTCCCGTATTCCTCCCCTGACCCTGGATCCTCTGCCTTTCATGGGTATAACTCACCGTCTTCCCCCTTTCTCATTCCTCGACCTCTGCCATTCCCTTCCCTTTAGGCTACATTCCATGCCCGTCAGTCTTAGAAAGTGTCGGAAGTATCTGTGTCCTTCCCCTCCCCCTCATTCCTCAGTCTGCAGGGGATCTCCGGGGAGGGATCCTCCCTCCTGCTGCTACCCCTCCCAAAGGCGGCCAGGTGATAGGCCGACTGTGAGGCGCAGTGCCCTGTTGGTGACCCGCCACAGGTACTGTCCTTCAGTGGTCTCTGTTCCTGAGGAGCAATTAAAGTTCCAGTTGGCTTGGAGCCGGTTTGTGATTGGTCCTTTGGGGTGGCCAGGGGAAAGGTCAGTGAGGGTCAGTGGCCTCTGTCTTGCTTTTTCTATCCTTCCTTTGGCTCCTTCAGCACCGACATTTGGGGGTGAGGAGTATTTACATCCCTGTGCCGTGCATCGTGTGTTTGTGGTGGGCTCACACACCATTCTGTGTATGGCATGGACCTGTACACGGACCTGCTTTTCGGTCTAGGTGCACACGGGCAGGTGTCTGGGGGACTCTTCTTGACCAGCTGGGCAATGGAAGCTGTAGTCCTTGATTCACCCCAGTTTAAGGTGTGAGCTATTGGGGAGTATCCTAGGAGGCTGTGCCCCCCAAGCAAGTTGAGTCTGCATCTGCTGCAGCCAGTGGACTACACCTTCCAGCTTACTCTTTGGCCCTGCTTCTCCTTGGCTAGCCAAGGTCTGATCTGATCTCTTGGGCAGATGAGGAAAGAGAAGTGAATCCTGCAGAGTAGACAAAGGCCTGCCCCACCCTCACCCAGCTGTGGGCTCTCTGCTCTTCTCCCCTCCCCCCAGCCCAGCTGCGGTCCTAACCTCACCATAGGAAGCTAGCTTCAGGTAGGTAGGGGCCTGCTTTGGAGCAAAGAGAATGCACAGATCAAGCCTTTCAGAGTCCCCAAAGTGGATGGGGAAATGTGTTTTATTAGAGACTGGGAGCTGGGTGTGGAGTCCTGGGGGGCCGAAGAAGCAGGATGGCATTGGGCACCAGCCCACAGGCCTGCAGTGTCTTTGAATCATCTGTGTACACGGTGGGTGGGAAGACAGTGAAGATTTCAAATGTGGCTGGGTCCATGTCCCTGAAGTGAGAGGGATCACGTTAGAGACCGCAGGGGCATTGTTCACTTGGACATCAGGGACAGTAAGACTGCCAATGGAGGGGAGGGGACACTTGGCCTAGGAGTAAAAAAGACCCGTGCTCAGGTCGTGGCTCTGCCATTAACTCAGTCTGGGCAAGTTACTTCCCTCGTTGCCTCACCTTCCCCATCTGTAAGGAGGGATGGGGGGGAGGGACATGATCAATCACAAAGGTCACTTGCAGTTCTGGAATGTTCTTAAGAGCCCGAGAAGGGACAGCCAAGCAGGGTGTGTGAGTGGCTGGAGAATTGGGAGCAAAGTGATGGGGATGGGAGGCACTGACCTGGCCTGGGCAAGGTACTGTCTGACCTCCCCAATGGTGTCTGCAGGCGACAGGGGCAGCACGAATGTTTGCTCCCCATCCTCAGACTTGATCCGTAGAGTGGCGGTGGGAACCTCCAGGGAGGACTGCCTCAGCCTGGGGCCCCAGCCCCATCAGCCTGGGGGCTGTGGCCCCCCTCACCCTGGGGCCCAGGGCTGCAGGTGCATGGGACTGGTCCCAACAGCCTCTCCCTCCCCCACCCAGCCCACCTTGGGGATCCTGTAAGGGTAAATTCAACACCCCACCCCCACCCCATCGCCAGCCCTGCCCTGCCCCCATCTCCCCCTCCCAGGATTCTCACCTCTCAGTCTCCACCAAGATCTCCTGGGGCCCTGAGCAGCCCTTTGAGGCAAGGAAGCAAAACCTTGGCCCTGAGGCTGTAGTCCTCCCTCCCCACCCTTCTTCTAAGGACTGAGCCCTGCCTAATGTCACACGCGCGCGCGCGCGCACACACACACACACACACACACACACACACACACACACACGAATGTGCACGACTAGGGATGGGGTGAGGAATGCTGGCAGGAGACAGCCCGTGTTCTCATGGAATCCACAGGCTGAAAGGAAGGAGCCCCACAGGGAGCCCCAAATCTGAGGGGGAAACAGGACCCATTCCTCACGATAGACAAGGTAAAGAAGAAGACGTGGTGCTGACTAATGGTAACGTGGAGGGGGAAGGGCTGACGCTGCCCAGCTCAGGGAACACTCGGGGAGGTGGTGCTGCCCCACAGGATGCCGACTTCACCCCGCGGCTACTGTCTGGTTCTCTAGTCTTCTGGGGCCAGAGAAACTGTTCTATGGAGTGTCCATCTCTGCCTACCAGGGCCCCCCTCCCACCAAGGGATCCAAAGTGAGAGCAGCCATGTATTCTCCCCTCCTGTCCCGGGAATTGTTCTATGGGATAATGATACCGTCCTCCCTGTTGGACAGGGGAGCTCGAAGGCTCGCCCAAGCCGGGTGGGGTGGGTTCCAGGCCCCCTTGCTGCGGGGCACCACTGCCAGGGGGCGGCTGATGCTCACCTCCAGCGTTTCCCGGATGGGTTCCCGGACTTCAATCACCTCCCCGTGGCGGATCACAAATTTAGGAAGCTTTTTCAGAAACCGCTCTTTGGTGATTGTGGAAGTTTGGGAGGAGTTCCCCATGAAAGGAAAGGGGTTGTTGGTTGCTGTCAGAGGGATGCAGTTTAGAAATGGCACCTGTCCTGGGCCCTCCACAGTTCAACATTTTCATCATTGATTTAGATGAAGGTCTAGAGCTAGACCAAATGCTTATCAAATTTACAGAAAGGGAGAGCTAACAAGGCAGATGAGCGTCACTGAGATCCAGTGATGGGCTGAATCAAATGAGCGGGGATCAGTTTCAAGGCCTGCACTTAAAGTAAAACCAGCTTTGCACAGGATGGGTTGAGGTGGATTGGAAAGGCAGCAGATGGGTCACATGGACAAGATAGGGGCTGGGGAAAACAGTGGCCAGGCAGCTCCACACCAGCCGACGTGGCGGCATTAATAGAGGCAGAGCATCCTTTCCAAGGGAAGGGCCTCAAGCAGACCACGTGGGGATGCTCGAACGCTCTGGGCACATTTTAGAAAGGATGAGAAGAAGGGGACAGGGACAAAACACTAATGCCATATAAAGGCCAGTTCACACAATTGGAGATGTTTGATCTAGAGAAGACTGAGGAGGATATGATGGATGCCTTCAACTATCTGGAACACTGTCATGTGGAGACCCCCCTAACAACGAGAGGTGCTCTAAAGTGGAATGGAATAAATGGGCAGCCTCTGGCAGGGCGTCAGGCCTCTCGTCTGTCAGGGATGCGTGTCCAGATCGGTTTGGCCTCAATGCCTTCCAAGATCTCCATCGATGCCAACATTCTGTGAAGCATTTTCCAGCAGGGTAGGGAGCTCCCCCCACCACCTGGCTTCTCCCTTCCCAGCCAGAGGCTCACCTGACTGGTCATTCAGCTTCTTGGTCTCCTTAGAATTCATTCTTCCTATCACATACCCGGGGCCTGAGAAGACCTCAGGAAGTTGCTTCTCCTGGTAGACCACATTGCGCAGGTCTGTCACCTGGGGAGGCAAGGAGGATGTTGGGAAGGACTGAGCATCTGCACAGATTCCATTACACTCCCTCAGCAGGTGGAGATGTGGCTGGTGGCCCACTTCTTCTGGCCCAAGTCCAACACCCTTTCCACTCTGCCGTGAGAGCTGCCTTCCCTGAGGTTACCCCTCTCCAACATACTGCTGTCATAGCTGCCCCTCTCCTGCTCTGGCCCATGCCTGTGCCCTTCCTCTGGCTCAGGAGGGAAGGTCACAGTCATGAGCAGTGACTTGGGGCCCGGCTCTCAGTATCTCTGTTCCTAACGTGCAGATGATAATCCTGACACACAATGAGAGGCTAGAGGGAAAGCTCACTGGGAACAGTCAAGGGGGAGGCCTGCCATTTCTTTGCCTTTGTTGTTCAGTTGTGTCCGTCTCTTCCTGACCCCGTGAACTGTCGTGCACTGATCTGCCCGTGAGGTTTTCTTGGCAAAGACACTGAAGCAGTTGGCCGTTTCCTTCTCCAGTGGATTAAGGCAAACAGAGGCTGTGACTTATCCAGGGTCACAAAGCTGGTGCTGGATTTGAACTCGGGTCTTCCTGACTCCAGGCCTGGTGTTCTATCCCCTGAGCCACCTAGCTGCCTCTTGTTATTTCCTTGCTTTAGGTATTCTCTATGTCCTTGACTAAACTGTAATCTCGAAGAGGACAAGAGCTGTGGGAAGTTTAATCTAAAATCCCTGTCTCCCCTGGTACCCAAATACTGGGCTTTGCACACCATGGACTGCCTCATAAATGCCATCCTCGTGCTTTTTCTGGCATGGAATGAACTTCTCTCCTTATTCCCCACCTCACTCTACCAGCTAAAATTCCCCTGGCGGCCTGCCTGGGGCTGCCTATGCTGTAAAGCTTTCCCTGATCCCCAGCCCCTCTCATATCCCCGTAGCTCTGAGCCTGGCTCTCTTCTCCAAATTCATCTTCTTCAATGTCTTCCCCTCCACCAGACTGCCTGTAAGCTCCATAAGAGCACGTTGGCCAGTGCTGAGCCAAGGGCAGGTGTTTAATAAAGGCTCGTTCGAAAGGATTGTTACCAACTGCTTAAGTTCTCTGGACTCTGGAAATCATTCTACCTCAAAGCGAGAAGGGATCTCAGAGGTCATCTGGCCTGACCCCCTCAATTTACTGAAAAGAAACGACCCTAGAGAGGAAGTGGCCTGCCCCTTTTGGGGTCACACAGGCAGGACTCAAAGCCAGGGCCTCTGATTCCCACTCCAGGGCTCTGTCTCTTCTGCCTTGCTGTCTTCTGATTTGTGAGTTTCACTAAATGACAAAGTTCTTCCCCAGTAGGCTGTAAGTTTCACGAGGGCAGGGACATCTGCGTACCTAGCTCAGGACATGGGAAGTCTCCATAAAGACTAAATTAAACTGAAGCAAATCAACTCCTTGCTGTGGCCATCCCTCTGTACGACCAGCAGAGGGCTCTCACTGCCTGTTCAACTGAGGACCTCTCCCCCCAGCCCCGTCCCCTGCCCTCATGCTGGTTCCCATTAGTTTTGTGCTCTTAGCTAGGATGAGGTCTCACTCCCTCTCCACCAGACACAACCATGCTCCAGATTCTCCTCTTCCAGGGAGTCTTCCCAACTAGCTTGTTCACGGCATCCTTTCCTCCTCGCCCCATTCCCATCCTCTGACTCCCCATTTCATGTAGAAAAACCTTTCCTTGCCTTTTTGTGTCCTGGATGCATGTTGTGTCTTCATCCTAAGGACAGTAGTCTCCTGGGACACAGGCCGACCTCCCCAAGGACAAGGATTGTCTACGATGCCGGGGCTGGGAAACCTGCAGCCTCCTCAAGCCGCCCTCTGACTGAATCCAAACCTCACTGCTTGAGGACCTAGAGGCCCCATGGGGCCTTGAGGCTGCAGGTTCACCAGCCCTGGTGCCCCATCAGATTAGGGCTCCCTGAAGTCCGGTCCTGCCTTCCCCTCTCTGGTGGAAGTTTTTAGAGGCTTGGGGCCATGTGCTTCTAACTTCCCAATCATTGAAGCCAAGCTATAGAATGAGCTTGGGGAGACTTCAATGGCTCTTTCTCAGGCCAGACAGCTCCTTACCTGGAAAGGGACTCCACTGGGGTAAATTTTCTTCAGCTCTGAAGGGAAGAAGCCATCTAAGATGTCCTGGATGCATTGCTGCAGGGGAGATGGGCAGAAGTAGAAGGCTGGGTGGGGAAATGATCTCTACTGCATCAGACAAGGCCAATTCCCTCCCACCTCCACCCCTACCCCATATTCCTTGCTAAGCTGATCAGCACCTAGGAATCCACAGCCCTGACCCTGATGCGGCTTCCCCTCCAGGTCACTCCCACATGTGAGAACATCTCTGCCTTGGTACAGCCTGAGCCCTGCATTTTCGGGCTATAATGGGTGTTTTGAGAGGATGTCCAGGCCCTGAGCCCTCACAGGACCAGGACTGCCTTGGCGTGTAGCAGATGGTCACTGTCATCAGGGCAGATAGAGGAGTCACCCATCAGCCAGACTTTAAGACAGAGGCCACACTGAGTACTAGTAGGGAAAAGGCACATCTGGTAGCCCTGGGAAGGTGCGTCACCTCCACCCCCTACCCTCAATCTTCACTTGTCTGGGGCATGAGCAATCCCAGTGAATAGCCACTTACTCATCTCGTCAGGGAGATGAGGTCCCCTCCTTCATACTCCGAGGACCTGTGATTTCCCACCTCTCCTCCCCATGTTAGGAAGGGATTTCCAGAAGCTGTTGTGGCCAGACAGACTCAACCCAGGGAACCCAAGAGTTTGGTGAGGGCCCTCTCAGCCCTGAGTGGAGCTGCTTCTTGAAGGATAGACAGTCACATCCTCTATCCCCTGGCCTCTATGTAAAACCTTTAGCCCTTTCCAGTGACTCAAACATTTTGTCTCCTTGAAAATAGCATGGTGTGCTTGGCATGGCAGGTGATTATCTCATATATTACACATATCTACACACCTCTGCTCTGTGTGCCCAAAGGGAAATGTCCCAGTGGCCCTCACAACCAACACCCCCTGCATCCCCTTCCCTGTGTGACTTTACTTAGGCCCTTCCCAATGCCCACCATGCGCTCTTTCCCTCTCTTTGCCTGGTGACTTCTTTCCCAACCTTTCAAGCCCAGCCCAAATGCTGCCCCCTCCAGGAAGGCTGCCCTGATCCCCTCCCACCCCCCAAGCCCCATTCCCAGTCAATAAGGAACTTCTCCTTTAACCTTGGGCAGCACATGGAATGGATTATTGTGTATCACAGTCATCTACATTTAAATTTCATCACTGGACTGTGGATTTCATAAAGACAGGGACCATCTCATGTGAACTTTTGTCTCCCTCGCCATCCCCTCTACCCCCCTCACCTGCCCCCAGGTCAGCATAGGGCTTCACACAGAGTCTGCACGACCATTCCAGAACCTCACCGTTAGCATGTCACAGCTTCAAGGGCCACTCAAGGCTATCGTGTCCAGCCCAGAAAAGGACAGTGACATGCCCACGGTCACACTGAAAATCAGTGATAGGCACAGGACTAGCATCCAGGGCCTCTGGGTTCTCCCTCCCTGTCTCCTGCCCACTGGGGCTCCTTACCTGTGTGGAGACATCTGAGAAGGGGCGGAAGGGCCCGTTGAACATGATGATCCCATTCTGATATAACGTCAGGGGCACTGGCTCTGGGGTCTTGAGCATCGCCATGCTGGATGAGGTGTGTACCAAGGACTGCCCCTCCCCGGCCAGCAGGCTCAGATCTCGGAGGTTCTCCAGCAGCTCATCACAGTCCACCGTGGGAGCAGGCACCGTGGATTCTCCTGATAACCGAGGCGTCTGTGAGGGGCAATGACCCTCTGCAAAGTACGCTACTTATTTTTCATGTGTCTGACTACCAGTGGGAATGGGGCCATGAGATAAACAGTGGTGCTCCTTTCCAGAATAAGGGCAGTAGAGCATGGGAAAGAGCCATGTCACAGACCTCCCAATTCCTAGGGCTCCTGGCACCCTGGAACGTCACCTGATCCATGCCCTTGAATCTAAGATCACTGTTATAATAACAACAGTAACTCCCCTTTCCGTTTTATGATCACAAGGCACTTGGACATACATTCAAGAACCACTACCCAGCGTGAAGCAAGGGAAAGAATAATGGAGAAGGAAATTAGGAAATGGGGGTCAACCTGCAAGCTAGGACGTGTCCTAGTGGCGAGACCCGGGACAAGCCACTTCATCTTCCTAAGGATCAGTTTCCCCTCCCATCAAATGGGAATGACAATATGTGCACCTCCTACCTCCCAGGGGTGCCGTGAGGAAAGCATTTTGTAAACTTAGAGAGTTTCCAAGTGCTGTTCCTCCCAAGTCCTAGTCCAATGCCTCATACTATCCTGGAGGTAAAATATAAAGAAAAAGGATGACCAGAAAAAAAAGGCCTGGAGACTATAGTTCAAGAATCACACATAAAAACTGCTCCGATCTAATAAAGCCAGAGGGCAAAGTAAAAATGAGGAAAACATCCCCTGATCACCTCCTGAAAGAAACCACAAAAGAATTGTTATAGCTGAGATCCAGAGCCAATCTACATCAGAGAAAAAGCTTTCAAGAAGGCACAAGGAGTTCAAGTAGCCAGGAATCATATCCATGATCAGCTTCTACTAGAAGTGAGAAGAAATCTTGGAATACAGTATTGCAAAAGGCAAGTGGCATAGGTTTACAACTAAGAGTAATCTATCTTAAAAAGCTGAGGATGATCCTATGGGGCAGAGGGGGGGGGAGGGGGGAAGTATCTTTAATGAAACAGAGAACTTTCAAGCATATCTGAGGAAAAGACTAGAACTGGGAGAAATTTGAAAATACAAGAGAAACCTGGAAAATCAAGATTTTATGAGCAACCGGAAGAGACCTTATGATGATTCAGTGCTAATATTCTCGTAAGGAAAAGAAATCAATATCCTCTCAGAATCTGAATGTCTTCAAAGGGTATTGAGGGAGTTAAAAGCTAAAAAGCAGAACACCTGGGGGGCAAGGGAGAGAAAAGGAAGGGAGGGTAAAAGACATAATGTTATGTAGAAAGAAGGAAGAAGGGAAGAGGAACTTGTTATTATCATTGAAGTATGTGAAAAAAATAGAGTATGAAAATATAGGGGAAGGCGGGTGGGGAGGGCAGGAATTCAGATGAACTTCACTGTTATCTGAACCAAAGAATGGCAGAATACACACACACACACACACACACACACACACACACACACAGAGTTTGTTGTAGAACCATATCAAGCAAAACAGAGAAATAAATAGGGATGGCAGTAGGAGGGGGAGGTTAAGAGAAGATACTATGGGGGGGGGGGAACACTCAAAAGCAAAACAAACTTCCTGATCCTGAAATGAGGTGGGAAGGGGAGACTGAAAGGGGAAAAATGACATAAATTGAAGGGTTGTCTATCAACGGAGGAAGCACTGAACAGATTCGCAGCATCTGAAAATGATGGACTATTACTGTGCTGTACTAAATGATGAGAGAGATAGTTTCAGAGAATGCTGGGAAATATGAGCTGATGGAGGAGCCAAGATGGCAAAGGAGAAAGAAGCTGAGTCTACCACCCCTCCAAATACAGCTATAAAATGCACCAGACCGAATCCTGATAGAGAAGTCCAGAAAAAAAAGTCACAGTGAGTCTTTTGTCCCCCCAGGTCAGCATAGGCAGACAGAGAGGCCTGCAGGTACCGGGGGCAGGAGCATGAGGCCCCCAGGGTCCTCCAGCACCCAGGGAGAGGCTACACCCAAGCACCAAGAGAAGATCCCAGACCCACTGGCACAGGGTTCTGGATCACAGGTCCAGAGCAGAGTGAGAAAGGGCCCTGTGCACAGTGGGGCCACAGCGGAGCTGCCAGGTGGGGTTGAGAAGCCAACAGCAGCAGCAGCAGCAGCAGCAGCAGCAGCAGCAGCAGCAGCATGGCTCAGCCCCCAAGGCTCAGAGCAGAACATCATGTTTAGTATCTAGGCCAGCCTCCCAAATAACCAAAGCAGGAAACCCAGACCAAAGGGGAAGCTTAAAATTCTGACACTTTAAACCCACAGATCTTTCCAAACTGTAAAAGCAGCACCTCCTCTTGCTGAGACCCAGAGCCGAGTCAGGAACTTGCAGAGCTCAGATCGGGACAGCAATCAGACTTTGCCCTGGCTCAGACCTCTGTGGGAAGCAACAAAAGCTTGCGGGTCCCCAGGCTGTCTCTGAGATCCTGCACTAACGCCACGCTCAGCAGCCCAGGAAAGCAGCAGCAGCACAGCCCAGGCCTTCCCTCCAGAAGTGACACAGAGCCCAGTCCTGACACTGAGCCCCAAGTCAGGAAGGAGGCTAGAAGAATGAGCAAGCAAACCAACCAACAAACAAGCTAGTTTGAGTGACTGCAAGCTACTGTGGCAGTAGGGACACTCAAGACGCAAACACAGAAGAAAAGAACGGCTCCAAAATATCCACAAGAGAAAAACACAGCTTGGGAGGTTAAAAAACAAAAAACCTGTTTTTATAAATGGAATAAGAATGCCCGAGGAAAAAACTGCTAAAGAAGTGAAAGCTATGGAAGGAAGAATTAGAAAAGGAATTAACTGCTGGGCAGAAGAGGTTCAAGACTCTACCCAAGCAACAAATTCCCTGAAAACTTGAACGGATCAAATAGAAGGCAACAAGAAATGTTAAAACAAAATCAAAAGGCTGAAGAAAATGTAAAGTGTTTCATAGCAAAAACAACTGACCTGGAAAACAGATCAAAAGAAAAATCGTTGGACTTTCTACACCATGACTCAAAAAAAAAAAAAAGAAAGGGAGGGGGAGGGGCCAGCTGGGTGGCACAGTGGATAAAGCACCGGCCCTGAAGTCAGGAGGACCTGAGTTCAAATTCAACCTCAGACCAAACACTTGACGCTTACTAGCTGTGTGACCCTGGGCAAGTCACTTAACCCCAATTGCCTTTAAAAAAAGAGAGAGCCTGGACATGCCATTTTAAGAAATTGTAAAAATTGCCCAGGTCTCTTAGAACCAGAGGACAAAGTGCAAATAGAAAGAATCTACCAGTTACCTTCTGAATGAAACCTCCTAGGAACATCATAGCCAAAAACTGGAGCTTCCAGATTAAAAAAAAAAAATTCTGTAAGCAGACAGAAAGAATTCCAGTACCAAGAAACCACAATTAGGATCACACATAATTTAGCAGCCGCCACTATAAAGCAGCAGAGAGCCTGAAATATGATATTCCAGAAGGGAAAGGAGATGGACTTCAGCCAAAACTAACTTACCCAGCAACATACAGAATATATAATCCTAAAAGAGAAAAAAATGGCTCTTTAATAAAGAGCTTCTAAGTAGTCGTGATTGAAAGATGAGAGCTGCAAAGAAACTTTGAAGGTTACACATAGGAGTAAAGAGAAGCCTAAAAAGGCAACGTGAATGAAAAATTAGAAAGGACAAACTGCTTTCATTTAAATATGGGGAGAGGACGCATGTGCTGTCATGGGGGTGTACAGAGGGAGGCAAATTAGACAAGGTTTGGGGCGTGGTTTTTTTATGTCTTGATGGTCTTAAGAAAACATTGAATATTTCTAGCAGCTCTTTCTGTGGTGGTAAAGAATTAGAAATTGAGGGGATGCCCATCGATCAGGGAATGGCTGAACAAGTTGTGGCATATGAATGTAACGGAATACTATTGTTCCATAAGAAATGACAAGCAGGCAGATTTCAGAAAAACCTGGAAAGAATGACAGGAACTGATGCTGAGTGAAGTGAGCAGAGCCAGGAGAACATTGTACACAGTAACAGCAGTCTGCGATGACCAGCTTTGTTAGACTTAGCTCTTCTCAGCAACGCAAGGATCTAAGACAACTCCCAAAGATTCATGGTGGAAAACACTACCCACATTCAAAGAAAGAACTTTGGGGCCTGAATGCAGATGGAAGCATACTTTCTCTCTCTCTCCTGGTTATTTCTTTCTCATGGTTTTTCCCTTTTGTTCTGATTCTTCTTTCGTGACATGAGTAATGTAGAAATATGTTTAATATGATTGTACATGTATAGCCTATATCAGATGGCATGCTGTCTTGGGGATGGGGAAGGGGAAGGAGGGGGAAAATTTAGAACTCAAAATCTTATAAAAATGAATGTTGAAAACTAAAAATAAATAAGTAAATTTAATAAAAAGAAAAGATTGGAAAGAAAGAGGAAGAAGAGGGAAGGGAATGGAAGGTAAGGGACAATTTTCTCACTAACCAGGGTGCACAAGCAGACATCTATGTAAACAAGGAAAGGGAGGCACGAGGAGTGGCTGACCCTGGAACCTCATTCTCATCTGAACTGGTTTAAAGAAGGAAGAATAGGAAGTCAGGAGGACCTGAGTTCAAATCCGGCCTCAGACCAAACACTTGACACTCATTAGCTGTGTGACCCTGGGCAAGTCACTTAACCCCAATTGCCTTTAAAAAAATTAAAAAATAAAAAAGGAAGAATACACAGGCACATATGAACATGCACACATCTACTTCACTCGAGAGGAAAACAGGAGAGAAAGGGGAAAGCTGGGGTACATAGATTAAGAGGAAGATGAGTCCTAAGCAAAACAAACTCCAAGGATATACAGAAATATTGATAGCTCTTTCTCAAGTGGCAACTGATGGGAATCCGAGGGAGTGCCCATAAACTGGGGATGGCCAACCAAACTGTTACATATGGTTGGAAAACGACTGTGCTGAACCTTATCAGCAGAATGGCCACCAGAACTGCAGAGCATTAAGGACGACACCAGGCACCCGCCTCCAAGGACTCGGAATTCAGAGACACCTCTCTGTTCGGATCCAGCCAGCACGCACGTCTGTTTTGAGTGACCGTAAATGGCTGTACCACGTTCTGTTTTTCTCCTGTTCTCAGATGAGGAGATAGAGAGTTGGAGGGAGCAGGGAAGGACGTTGGAGGGCGGGAGGGAGAGAGGCAAGGCCACATGTGTGGAGGTTGATTGGGCGGTTGGTTTCCCTCTATTTTTAATCTGGAGTGGAAGATAACAAAAGGGAGGCAGGTAACAAAAATGGTGTTTAAAAAAAAAAGAAGAAGGCCGTTAAAACTTATTCAAACGCACAGAAGAGCACACAAGGAGGCTCAGAAGGAAGCAAAAACAGGACAATTTTGAAAGTGAGCTATGAATGTATTATATCTTTTTTAAAAAAAGAGCAAGCAGTATGAAATGCAGATTCAAGGCTTTCCATACAATCTTCTCTGTGTATTTTGATATGTAGATGGAAATGTTTTGGGGTTTTTTTTTGCTTTCAGTTCAGAATAAAAAAAGTTTTTTAAAAAAACCCCAACCCTTCTGAGGTTCCACCTCAAAGCCATTTGATTGGCAAAGATGACCAAAAAAGGAAACAGCTGTCAAGGCAGCTCTGAGAGGACAAGCACACAAAGGCGCTGTCATGGAACTGTGAGACGGTCTAAATGTTCTGGAATGCAATTTGGAATTATACTCAAAAAATACTTCAACTATGCATACCCTTTGGTACCCAGTGATAGCATGACTAGGCCTATACCCCAAAGAAAGAGGGACAGGACCCATATGTAAAAAAAAGTATTTACAGCAACATTTTTTGTTGGAACAAAGAACTAGAAACAAAGTCGGTGTCCATCAATTGGAGATTAGCTATTATGGCATGTGAATGGAATGGAATGTTACTGCTCCATAAAAAATGATGAAAAGGACAGAATCAGAGAAACCTCAAAGAACTTGTATGAACTGACTCAGAGTAAAGTGAGCAGAACTGGAGCAATTTATATGTTATAACGTTGTAAAGGAAAACAACCATGAAAGCTTTAAGAATCCTGATGAACGTAATAACAAATCATGACTCCATGAGATGAATAATGAATCATGCTTCCCCTCTCTTGGCAAAGTGCTAATGGACTCACAGATGCAAGATGGTGCCCACGTTTTCAGACATGGCAAATATGTGGATTTGTTTTGAATGATTACATTTATTTCTTATGAGGGAGGGCTTTTATTTGGGGGAAGGGAACTGTGGGAAGAGAATAATGATAATGATCCTTTAAAAAAAAAGGAAGAAAACAAACAAGCATCAATGAATCACTTTTAAAAATAAACAGAAGAGTGCAGAAGGAAATTCAGAAAGAGACACTGACAAACAGCAATTTTGGAACTAACATGATAACTCTGAAATTTTTTTTTTTAAAACAGTAATACATAGTGCAGATTCATGGTTTCATTATACGATCCTCTTCTTCTGCTCTTTGTATAGGGGCAAATAGTTGATATTTGTCAATTTCATAATAATAAAAAAGAATTTTTCTAAAGGTAAGGATGAGAGTCCTGAGTACAGGGTCAAGACAAACATGAAACAAAGGATGGCAGCTGAGAGAGGAAGGGGATTGACAGAAGGAAAATCAGATGAGAGATGAAAAACACATCATTTGATGGGCAAGAAATATTGACTCAAGGCCATTCCTGTCCTGAAGAGTATGAAAGCAAAATAACAAAGTAACATCACTGAACATTTCAACTGGAAGGGCTCGTAGAACACAGAATGTCAGAGCTAGTAAGTACCTAAGACCTTAGAATGTCAGGGTTGGAAGATACCTCAGAGTAGTGGAGCTGGAAGGGATTTAAAATCTAGAATATAAGAGCTGGGAGGGACCTTAGAGATGACTAAATCATAAAATAACAGGGGTTTAGAGCTAGAAAGTATCTTCATGAGCCAACTCCCTTATTTGACAGATGAGGAAACTAAGTCCCAGAGAAGGGATGCATGTTGCCCCAAGGTACAGGGTCACCTGCTTGGAGTCAGGGAATGGCCTTCTTAAGGCCCCACTCTACCTGGCTTCCAGAGTTTTTTGAGTGTCCACTTCTCTGCCTCTAAGTCCGTTTCCATCTCCATTTCGGTCTCTGATGGTTCTCCTACCCACTCCAGTCCATAGTCATTCAGAAATCGCTGAGCAGGAAAAGGAGGACACAGAGGAAGATTGCTGTTAGCTAGGCTTCTTTCAAGAGACAGCCAAGAAGGCAAGGGGCAGTGAAGGTTACCGATTTCATGATTCAGTGAGTAACAAGTTTGTATCAGAATCAAAGACAGAGCTGTGAAGCCTTGGCTCCTCATCCTGCTTCCCTAACCACCCTAACCACCTTTAACCTAACCTAAGTGGTAGAAAGAACACTGAATTTGGAGCCAAAAGACCTGGGTTCAAGTCCTAGCTCTGACTTCCTAATTGTGTTACCTAGGGCAAATCACTTCACTTTGAGTCTCAGTTTTCTCATCTGTAAAATGGAAATAACAATGCTTGCTCTACCTAGATCTCAAGAGCAAAGAAAATAAAGGATGCATTTCACACTGTAAGTCATAGAGTAGTACAAAAATATGAGCTGTTATTACTAGTTGAGAAAGCCATTAGAGATCATTATCCAGTCAAAACCTCTTTTCTCACAGATAAGGGAACTGAGGCCCAGTACGGAGGAATGATTTGCTCAAGATCATACAGCAGCTTAGACCTCTTGACAGAGCTGAGAATCAAATCCTAGTTTCCTATCTTCCTATTCTGAGTTCCAGCACAGAAAAGGGGAGAGAAGAGGGGGAAAACACACCACTCTAGGACTAGGTGTTGGCCTCCCGCCTGTTACCCCAAAGACGACTTCTGTTCCCCCAACCACCTCCTCTCCTTGAGGGAGGAGGACGGCCAGAAGCCACAGGACAGGGGTTTAAATGGGGCATGCGCTGTCTGGCTGAACGAGGCACCAGGAAATGAGAGGTGAAAGACAAGGTTAAGAAGTCTGCTGATGTTGAAGCCAGGGCTGAGGTCTGAGGCTGTGTCTTCCTGGCTCTAAACTAAGCTATGACATTGGCAATTAGGCAATGCCTTCATAAGGTAATCAATCTGGGGAAGTGAGAGGAGGTCACTTCATAATAATAGCTTACTTTTACCCATTGCTTGAAGGCTGACAAAGTCTGGCCTCTCTCATAGCAGTGAGAGTCACAACACAAGTGAAGTCCCTGAGCATGGATGTTTTAGAGATGGTCAGGGGCTTGCCTATGTCACAGAGCTCCCAAGTTTCAGGACCAACATTTGAATCCATGAAATGCCTCTGACTCTAAGGCCCAGGTCATTCCCACTATATCTCATGGCTTCCTTCCAGCTAAACTGTGACCAAAGGAAAAGGCAGGGTCTCTTCTAGGGGTTTCTGAGAATGATGATGATGGTGACAGCTGCATTTACATGAGCATCGGCACAAGATCAGTTAGGAGCTCCATTAATTTCATAGGATTTAGTGATGGAAGGGAGCTTAGAAATAATTTAGTCCAACCTATTCATTCTACAGCTACAGAAACTGAGATTCAGAGAGGTGACACAGGTAGCATCAGAGCTAGGATTGGAATCCTATGTGGATGAGTGATGGTCTACTAGGAGTAATAAATAGATGGAAAAGAGGCTTGAAAAAAATCCACATGATCTCTGAGTTCTGTAGCCACCATGGCCACTGAGAGATACCCCAAAGCCTTCTTCCCAGTTGTGTTCAAGGGCCCATCTCCTCCCCGCCTTTATCTGTCTCACCTCCATTTCATGGACCTGATTCTGAAGGTGCTGACACTTGGCTTCCAGTTCTTCTGTACGGGTTAAACTTCTTCGATCTTCTGGAAAAGATAGGATGGTTTCAGGGGGTCCTCAACAACTAGAGCAGAGATGCAGGGCTCAGAGCGGCCTCCCCGGCCAACAATGGTGGGCTTTCAAGTGCTGCCCAAGGAGACACTTTCAAGGGTTAGGACCAACCTCGAATGAGATTTTGTGCAACACCCCCAAACAAAAGCATTCCACGTTCCATTCCGAATGTTGAGGTAAACTAATCCTGCTAGTTGTGTATTCTCTTTAAATCCTGGTGAGTCACTCATTCGTACAAAACATGCTTATTAAATGATTATTATGTGCCAAGCCCTGGGTTAGGTATAAAGTTTCAATGAGACATGGATAAGAAATAAACACACAACTAGAAGGCACAATATGATGTGTTAAGTGTTTTAGGTTCAGAGCAGAGTACTACATGATATCTAAGGCAAAAGGTTGTTAATAACCCGTAGTGGGATTAGGGAGGACTTTGTGGAAGAAGCCATATGGGGAAGACCCATTTAGGGTCCACTTTAACGTGTGGATAGAAATTCAGCATGCAATGAGGAGAGGCATAAGGCACATCATGAACAGTGGCATGGAGGAGGAAATCGCAGGGTATATTCACAGGACAGAGAATGGTCCAATTTCACTGGCATGCAAAGTTCATGAAAGGCCTTCATATGAAATTCAGCTGGAAAGCTGGGGTGGGGCCAAATTGTAGAGGGCCTCAAATGCAAGGCAAAGCAGTTGAATGTTATTCAGTAGTTGTTCACTAGACACATGCCCTGAATAGTATTTAATAAAAGAGTGATATAATCAGATCTACATATGGAAGAGATTATTCTAACAGTCAGAACAGAGCCTAGCAAATGGAGCCTCTCCCACAGAAGGGCCAGGTTCCTCCCTTAGGCAGCCAGCAGTGCCATCACTGTACTGCCCAACCTCTAGGGGATGGGCTGCCCCGGCTCCCACCCCAACTGTAGTCAGACTATGCTCCCATCCCCCAATTCAATTTATCCCTCATGCTCATTACACTTCATCTGGAAAGTAGAAGACTGAAATGGAGAAGGGAAAGAGTAGAGATAGAAGAGGATTAGAGCGCAAGGAGAGGAAGATGGTGGGTGGTAAAAAAAATATATTTTCTACTTGGGCAAAAGCAACTGGAAAAGAGAGAGTTGATGTGAAAGAGGGAGAACTGTTAGGACTTGATAAATGACTACATAGGAGAACTCAGAGAGGTCCAAAGATGACCCCAACGATACAAACCTAGGAGATGGAATAAATCAGCAGTGTCAGAGACAGAAATGGTGAAGTTAGAAGTAGGAACTGACTCATGGGGGGAAATAAGCTGTGTTCTGGACGTGCTGAGTTTGAGGTAGTAAGAGAATGTCAAAATGTATGTGCTCTGATGGCCAAGAGAAATGTGGGGCTGGAATTCAGTAGATAGGTCAGGGCTGGGAGCCACCTGCATAGAAGGGCTAGCAGAAGCCATGGCAGCAAATGAGACTGCCAAGGGAAAAGACCCAGAGAAGGAGAAGAGAGACTGAGAAGAGGCCTTGAGAGACACCAATGTTAAGGGCTCAAGGGGTCAGGAAGAGGATGAGGAGTCAGTGAAGAAGAGGAACAACGGGGACAGCAAAGGAGTCTGGGAAGGAGGGATCGGATGGGTAGGTGGGGAAGCAGGGGAGAGCAGAAAATCCAGAGCGGAGAGAGAACCTCAGAGGAGGTGGGACTCAACAGGGTCACACGGAGCAGAAAAGTCAAGAAGATGAAGCCTGAGAAAAGACCACCAGATTTGCCAACAAAAAGGTTGTTGGTAACTGTGGTGGAGAAATTAAAGAAGATGTAGGGACATCTTTTCAGTGACCAGAGGGGAGAAGGAAAGGATAGTTGATGATACCTGGAAATTTTGAGGAGAGGGGCTAAGAGATCTCAGACAAGTGGGTGGATAGGCAATCTGCTATAAACTTTGTGCTGGGCCCTCTCCTCTCCTCGCCACTCCTCTTTTCCTCTCCTCTCTCTGTCTATCTTTCTCTGTCTCTCTCTTTCTCTCTCTCTCGGCACACTCTCACCTGGTAACCTCATTAGCCCCCATAATTCCCAGTTCCATATACTCAATCCCAGTATCTTTCCTGAGCTCCAGGCCTCTATCCACAACTGCCTATTGGACATGAAAGCTCTTGAGGGCCAGGACTATTTTCATTGTTGCTTTTCTGTCCCCAGGACACAACAGGTTCTTAATAAATGTGTCTCTGATTCAAAGAACAGACAATGTAGCAAACAAAACAAGGAGTTGAGAAAGACAGAAGAAGTGTCAAACAACAGCAAAGGCCCAGCTGGAATGCTATAACAGCGATGGGGAATGGATGAAGCAGCCTCCTTGCTTCTGCAGGTTTCTCTGGCTATGCTTCACAAGTCCCAGAGCAGGAGCAGAGAGCTCAGGCAGCGAGTATTACCCAAGGATTTGCAGGTCAAGAAGAGCTAAAGTCAGGGGGCAAAGAATTCTAGCGAAACATTCCAATGTCTGACAATGCACGAAATGGGTATTGTATTAAATCAATAAATGGCCATTAGATTAAAAGTGAAGCCAAAGCAGGGGGTGGGGACAAGAGGGGTCAGAGGTCATGACAAGGGTGAAGAGTAAGTAGGTTCCATGTGCATGAGAATGGGTGGGAAGGAAAGAGAGGAGCTTGTGGTCAGACTTTGAAAGTTAGATCTTAGACGTGATTCAGTCTGGCCATTGACGGAGGCTGGACGTGGGACCATGCTGGTGGGGAATTAAAGTGGGATGGAGAGGGTCACTGAAATGGAGGGATTAAGGAGTCAGCTGGCTAAGTGGCTCCTTAACATTCATGCTGAAGTCCCAGAAGGTTATATTAGGAGTTGGGATGAAAAGAAAGACTGTACAATAGGTACTAACATAACTGAAGACATTGCAATAGCGACCTGGGAAGATGACAGCAGTGAGGAGAGAGAGGACATCTCTAAGCAGACCATGTGGATCTTAAATGATAATGTCTCCAGGCAGCTTTCCCATAGGGCTTCTCCAACCAGGGCCTCAAGGGAGGACAGTGAATAGTCTGGTTACCTGCCCCCCTTCAAAGGACTTCTCTCCAACCACTGATGCGCTGCCCAGACTCGTGCCTCACCTCCAAATTCTTAGTGCAGTTATAAGTCTTAATAACTTCAGAAGTATAAATGCTATAAACTTTACCCCCCCCCAATTGCAAGTTTAATTATTTAAATTTCTTTCACACTTATTAGTTTTGTGAATTTTGAATAACAAGATATCAATCTTAACAAGTCAGGGCAGCCTGTGATTATGCATTGTGCACAACAGTTTCCTGATGGCACTTTCTCAGACTGGTCGATCTGTACAGGATGTCCTCTTGCTTCACTGCCTGGGTCACCTGATCTAGTTCCATTAAACTTTTTCTTATGGGGTAAAGTCAAAGCTGTATGTCTGTGTCAAAATTCGTTCTTAGGATCTTAAGGTGAGGATTGCAAATGTAATCATTTCAATCACTGAGCCACAGCTGATAAAAGTGTTTACAAAGTCCAAAAATTAACTAGAGTAATACACAGGATAAGACAGCAGTGATCTTGAATTTTAATAATACCAATATTTTGAAGCCTTCAATCTTCTACAAGCTGTTTTTCTAAGGATGTAGCATTTATGCTTCTGAGCTGAAGACAGAAGGTGGACTCACAGGACACTCTGTATCGAGGGTCCCAGTGATTCAGAGCCTCGGCCTACCCATGGCCATACTCCAGTGCTCTTCCCCAGCTGGTGCTCCTGTACTCCTACCCATCCCAACCCTACTACCCCCAACCACCCGCTCCACATCTAACCAAGAATCCTCCATATGATTTTGCTTCCGACAAGGGCGGGTATTCATCCTCCGCTGAAGCCCATTCTGTTTTTGGAATGCTCTAGGAGGAAACTTTGCTGACATCATGAAGCCTAAAGCTGCCTCTCTACAACTTCCTCCCACTCCTCCTAGCTCTGCCCTCTGGGCACCAGGCAAGTCTAATCTCTTTTTCATATTGTTCCATGGGTGTGTTTTGGGTTTGGTATCCCGGCTCCCCTCCCACCCTGGTGGCTCTTCAAGGCAGGGATGATGTGTCTCTTCTTCAGAACTGTGAGTCCCTTTGGTTGGGGCTGGAGTTGGGAGTGGGAGGGGAAGCTAGACAGGCCAGGACTCTGGCAAGAGAATTCTATTACCTTTGTCTGGCTGCAGGCTTTTGATTTTCAACTTGAGGCTTTTGATCCACTGGTCCTGCAGTACCAAGGCACCAACATCAGCCCCAGACCGGTTCCTGGCACTCAGGAAGCTGGGAATGATGCCTCTGGGAAGCCTCTAGTGATTCCTTCCCAGCCCAGAAGTATAGGAACTGAGATTCCAGAATGAGTGGCAGAACAAAGCCATTGGAACCCAGTTGCCATGGCTCAGGGTCATGGAGGCCCTGGTTTCCAAACACCCCAGGCAGGGATGCAGCAAAGGGAAGATGCCCAAGCCTCCCACTGAACTGCTGGGCTGCCAGGATCCCATGTGTTGGGGGCTTCCTGCAGGGGCTGAATGCTTTTTTAGCCTCATCTGGAACCACCCATGGCCTAGCAGACAGCAGCTGGTTCAGCCTGGGCCCAGTACCTTGAAGTTGATTTCTTCAGCCTGCTTCTTCACCTTTTGTTCCAGTTCAGTTAACCTCTTCACCAAAGAGGAGACCAGGCCCACGTCATAGGGCAGGGACCCTGGCAAAAAATGACTTCAGGCCACGGCTTGAAGAACTGAGGTGGGGGCCCATGTGTTTAGGAAATGAATGGACACTTCTCCTCCCAACTCCACCAAGCACCTAAGGTTTCTGATACCCAAAGAGAGAGTAAGCCCAGCTTTTGAATGACTCACCCAGGAACCCACTGACCACCCTGAGACTGACCCTCCCAGCCTCAATTAACCAATGCCAGCAGTCACCTCCTGAATGCCCTGGAGATGAACTACCTACTGTCTAAGACCTGATGCTCCCAGTCCTAACTGACCTTCCAGCCCTTGTTTGATCCTGAGGTCCTTACTGAGCCTCCTTTGCCCTTGACCTACCTATCTCTATGACTAGACCCTCTGCTTCTTAAATGACCCTTCAGCTTCTTGGTGATCTGCCCCCCCACCCCAGCCCTACCCTCTGCTGAAAACTCAAGGTCTCCATCCCAGTAAAGGGCCCAAGATAGAATGACATTCACAAAGTGTCTGGAATAGAAGGCGTGCACAGAGAGGAGGGAGGAGGCAATGTGTCACCAAGGGGAAGTGGTTAAGTGGAGAGAACCCCGGGCTGGGAAGCTGAGGCTAGGCTTTGAGACCCTTTAACCATTGCCTGGCCTCCATCTTCTGGGGCTCCACCCCTCCAGCCCTGCCTCAGGGGTGTCCAGATCTGCTGCCTCAGCCTTATTCATTAGACTTCCTAGAAGTTCAGGTCTCCCTGGAATACCCAGCCCACTAAGAATCACAGAATCTCAGCCCTAAAGGGGACTGTGGCAATTTACTAACAAAGGTGAAGCAGGAGTCCCATTTCCTACAAATGCCTGCCAGGTCCCTTTGGGATGCCCCAAATGATGGGGAAGGAGCCTACTCCACTTTGGACAGCCCTGCTTGGTAGAGGAAACTGCTTTAAATGAGAATCAAATTGTCTTCCTGGTACTTCTAGCCCCTGGTTCTGGTTCTGCCAACTGAGGTCAAGCAGAATGAGCATCAGAGCACTTTTCTAACATGACAGCAAGGCTACAGATACATTCTCTTCCCACCGCTCATGTTTTCTTTTACCATTTGAACTTGATACTAGTAATAATTCACATTTCTATAGCACTGGAAGGTTTACAAGGTGCTTTTCTATGAGGCAGGTAGTGCTTATATTATTTTACCCAATTTACAGATGGAGAAACTGAGGCTCTGTTTGCCCACAATTAAATAGCCAAGTAGAAGATCAGGGACTTGAACTGGGCCCCCCAGACTCCAAATCTAGTGCCCTTTTCATTATACTACATTTCCTCTAGTTCCTTTCAACCCATACTAGCCTGGCACTGTTTCAAGCCCCAACCCATTCAGTCAATCCCACTCCTGAAATGCTATGTCTGTCATTCTCCAGGTGCTGTCTGACAAGGGCAGAAGACAGTAAGTAGAACTGTCACCTCCCTTATCCTCCCCCCTCTCCCAAATTTGGCTCCATGCTCCCATGAAGCCTTCCTTGACTAGTTTCATCTAAGATTTAATCAGTTACTTCTCTCTTCCCCAGCTTCCCCCAAGCATTTCCATAATCTATACTTGTCTCTCCTTTCTTGGGACCATATCTTGTCTCTGCTATCAGATAGGAAGCACCCAGAGAATCTTTAATCCAATCCCATCAATTCTGCCCATCCATCCACCCACTTCTCCCTACCCCCTGCCCAGCTATCAAGTAAACCTTCCTGGTATGGTATGATGGTTTGTAAACCATCAAGGAAATCTCTTCCTGTCAACTTCTCCAGCCATAATTGTGGAAGTTTTTAAGTCTCTTCTGGCTTAGGCTGCGAGAGGCAGCAAGACCCAATGGAGAGAGAGCTGGCTTGACTGCTACATACTGGCTGCATGACCCTGGGTAAATCACTTAGCCTCACAGTGGTCGAGGCCAGGGCTTCTTAAACTTTCGCCACTCTTGACCCCTGCAGTGCTTCTTAAACCCCATGAGACCCATAGTTTAAGAAGCACTAGTCGAGGTGACTCTCTAAGAAGTGTCACTCTGCAGTGGAAAAGGGAATCTCTTTATCAGGAAATAGCAATGAAATCATGAGTCCAGTCCCTATTCCTTCCTAGGCCATTATAATGGCCTTCAAACTTTGGTCTTCCTGCCTCCATTCTTTTTTCTCCCAACCAGCCTTCATACTATTGCCCTAGCAATCTTCCAAATTCTGTTTACATCATCCTTTGACTCAAAAGCCTCAAGTGTCCTTCCATTGCCCAAAAGAGGATAAATTCATGACCTTGGAATTCAGGGCCCTCCACAATCTAACCTGCCTATCCATGCTTATGATCTACACGGCAGAGTGTTCTGCCCTTTCCCATACGTCTGCCTTTATGCACATTATCCCCCATGCCTGAAATGGGCCTCCCACCCAAATCTCATATCCTCATTCCTTTCAAGGTGGAATTCAGATGCTACATCCTCCATTAAGCCTTCTCTGAAACTGCCCAGATGAAAACTCCTTTTCTTGCCTCAAATGTCTCATAGCATTCATTGTGCCTCCTCTCCTTTACACTTAATACTCTGCTGAATCTGTCAGAAGCCTGGGATGCTGCAGAAGGGAACACAAACACAGGTGTGTCACAGTTGTGGGGATAATTCTGCCTCAAACTCTTGCCGTTGTGGGGAAGACTGCAAAGGAGATTGACTGCCATCCCAAGGAGATTGACTGCCATCCCATGATGTAAGGGGCGGGTAAGGGTGTCAGGAAGTAGCCAGAGGCCTACTGTCTGTGGCATTAGGTGACTGGAGGGACTGCCTTGGTGTGACAAGCATGGGAGAGGTAGTAACTGCTGTGGATGTATGCTTAGAGCACAAAGGTAGTGACAGGGCTATATGGATTGCCTATGAAGGCTGGGAGTTCTAGTCCTCAACAGTGTTCTGGGAATGGCCCAAGTGTGGAGAGTTAGAGCAGGGGCCTCATCAAAAGGTAGAATTTGTGGAATAATTGCTAGCTTTCCTGGATACCACCTATACCAGAATGAGGCAAACATCAATAAAAGTTATGAAATCATCTTATATGAACTGTGGGCATAGTTGATCTTAGCTCTAGATCTGCTTGTGCAGGAGAATGCTGGGAGGCACTTCACAACCAACAGTAACATAGTCATTAGTATCTTGTGTCTTTTCCCTCAATGCCTGTTAAGTTTCTCAAGTGGAGAATCTGCCATGCCTCCCCTGTAAAATAAGAGTACAAACAGCCTCCGCCCCCAACACCATGGAGGTCAAATGAGAGTGCCTTGTGGCCATCAAACACGCTCGCTTGTTCTTCTGTTTTGGATCTCTGGCTCCTGGCACTGTACCTTCCAGGGAGGTTGGGTGAATGAATGGCTAAGAACCCAGCTATGGCTGGCCTTCTTGCCCTACCAAAACCTCAGGTGTTTCCTCTCTGGCTCAGACCTCCTGCAGCCCAGCAGCATGACCCAGCACACACAGGATTTGTCTGGAAAACACCCACAGCAAAGGGAGGCCACCTAGACACACAGGGGAAAGTACCGAGGAAGCCCTTAATCCTACATCTCTGTGACCCAACAGATCCTTTCGTCTCCTCTCTTTCTCTTCCTGAGGGCTAGTCTTCAAAACACCAGCACTACAGATTTCTCCCAGTTTTGAGGTGCTGTCTGCCTGGTAGTTCTGGTACAAGAGAAAGCCCAAATCGTGGGCTTCAGCAGCTGCCTCCCCACATCCACAGCCCAACTTCCTGGCTTTCCTTGAGGGGCTAATACTTCATTTAGAGGACAAGAAAATAGATTCGAGGCTCTCCTAAAAGGGTGAGACCTGAACATGATAAGGCTTCCCAGGGTGCTTTGGGGTATTTGCTTGGGACCTACAGGAAACAGAGGTGGTGAGCTGCTGAGCTCTGCACGCCAACCTGTCCTGCTCCTAATGGTACCCTCAGTGTTTTCATAGACAACGTGACCCATCTCACTAGAAGTGCCAGAGAAGTTTACCTGGCCACTTGGCTAGTCACCCCATCCTGGGCCAGGAATAATATCCCTGCTTCCTTTATCCTCCATCAGACCCAGAATAGCTGGGATTGGGATGCACAGACGCATAACAAAGCTACAGCAAGTGTTACTGCACCGATTAAGATTCATGCTAGGCTTCCCTTCCTGAGGCCTGTGCAGAGCCAGTCTGTCTCCTTCTAAGCCTCCCACCCTAAGCCCTGCAGCCACCAGCACCAAGCCCCTTCTGGAGACCTTCAGGCCCTTCCTCCTCCACTCCAGGGAGATGGAGCAATAGTTGGACTCAGGAGGGAAAGTCCCCAGAAATCTTCTATGAGTGGCCACTTTTTCTCTTCAAGTGGAAAAAAGATCAAATTCATTCTACTTGACCCCAGGGGGTAGACCTAGAACTAATGGTAAAGGCAGCTGGTGGTACAGTGGATAGAACAATGAACCTGGAGTCAGAGAGACTTGAGTTTAAATCCAGCCTCAGACACTTACTAGCTGTGTGACCGTGGGCAAGTCATTTAACCTCTGCTTGCCTCAGTTTCTTTGACTGTAAAATGGGGATCATAACAACGTCTACCTTGTGGGGTTGTTGTGAGGATCAAGTGAGATAATATTCTTTTAAAAGTGCTGAGGTGCATAATATATGTTTATTCCTTTACCCTTCCCACCCAATAGGTGGACATTAGCATTTTCTAACAATTAGAGCTGTCCAAGAATGGAACAGACTACCTGCCTAGCAGAGGCAGGAAGACCACTGGTCAGGGCTACTAAAGATCAGGCAGATACTTCCAGCTCTGACCACCTACATTGTTATCCTGGCATCTACAGAGGCAGACAGGAGCTCTTACCAGATCTTCCCAGAAGGAAGGGCTTTTCTCTGGTGCAGCCTGGAATCCTATCTTCTGAACTAGGTCCATCATTTGACAAGTCATCCTCTTCCTCTGTAGACCCAAAAGTATGAGGTTATTTTTAATGGGGGCAGGGGGAAGGATGCAAACTCTGGAACCCAAACTGTGTCAGGGTTTAAGGTGCTGGAGTGGGGCAAGCAGAGAGAGGTGATAAGGGTTTTTCAAGGGAAGAGAGGGTGAGGACCTGATTCCTCGAAGGGCTGTACCCAACTCTCAAGGTGACTGCACCAGAGGGACAGCCCACTGGACAGTCATTGAACATTCATCTACAAAAGGGGTTCCTATAGGACAGTCATTCTGGAGAAAGCTGGTAGGGTGAGAGGGATGCCAGGAATCTGCCAAAGCTGAACATGGGGATTTTCTTCTGAGTCATACAGGCCAGCTTCTGGGAAGGCCTGAGATGACAGGGAGGTGGGGAAAAGGAAGACAGGGACAATTCCTATGTGGAAAGGTCAAGAGTGGAGCTAGAAAACCATAAAATAGGGAGTCCAGAAGGGGTTTTCAAAAGGAGGACACAATAGAGGACAGGATTAGGAGCTCAATCAGTAATTTTTCCTGTCTAGTCCATCTCAAACTGACAAAAGGACGGAGCAGTAAATGACCATCAGAGGAGACCGAGGCAGAAGCTTGAGGGCATTGGGGAGAACAAAAATGTAATGGGCACATGGGGGGGGGTCAAATTGAACAAGGGGGATGGGCTGAAGGATTTCTGTAGAGAAGGGCCTCCAATCATTCCATGGAAGGGGGTTTGCAAATGAGTGACTAACTGTACACTGGAGAAAAAGACTGGAGGGGGGGAGGGAGAAGGGAGACATGACAGGGACAGGAGGAGATGGGAGCCAGAAGGGACCCTAGAGCAGCATCAGTCAGCCCTGCTGGCAAATAATTCAGACGGAAGGGCAGTGACTGAGTCCCCTCCCCAACCCCCAACAATTCCAGCCTCCCACAACCACCAGCATGAAGGGTAGAAGGAAGGGGCTGTTAGTCTCCAGCCGATTTTATTTTCCTTTGTTCATCTAGTCCACCCCAAGCAGCATCCAGGGCAAGAAGATAAAGAGCAGTCGCAGCTGGGCAGACACTCACCACCAAAGACTTTCATCCGAGAAGGCAATGATCGCCTCCTGGAAACCCAAAAGGGCAAAAAGGAAATGCTGGTTAGAAATGGCCGCACTCCGGGGGACAGGGGAGTCAGCAGAAGGCCCCCCGACCCTGGCCCACTGGCCAGTGGCTCCCTGATCCTAGATCCAAAGGAGCTGGGAAGGAGAGGTAGAGGCCAACTCCTTCTTCCTGCCTCAGGAGCCCGGGCCGGTGCCTCCACCCCAAGGGACACCACACAGCGTGGAGTGGGGTACAAAAACAGGACTGATTTGGGGGCTTGGCAGCCTATCCCTGGTTTGCTCTCAGACATCTAAAAGAACAAGGGAAAGAGTTGAGAAGCAGCAAATATGTCGGGAGACTTCTACCAGAGGAAGGTTTGCTGTGGGAACAGGTCACGTGTTCTGTCTGGACTTCTTCCCCTGTAAAATGAGAGATGATGCCTACCTTCCCTTCCTTGGGGGAAGACTGGCATGAGAATCAAGCAAGCACATAACAAGAGAGGAAACGCATCGGGACACCAGAAACACAGTGAGCTGGGTACTGGGCAGTCACCAAGAGGAGGGGACCCAAAGCCTCTGGCACTAAATGGGATGGGCGTCAGACACACTGGCTTCCAGTCCCAGACCACAGGCAGGCAACACATTTAGGTTCTCTAAGTCTTGGTTTCTTTATCTCTAAAATGGGTGGGCAGAACTTATTGAGAGAATCATATGAGAAAACAGAGGTAAAGTTTTACAGAATTGTGAGTTATAATCACTGAGGTACTTTGAAAAACAATCAAGTACTACACCGATGTTAAATGCTTCATGACGCTCTCATCATGTGGCTGGGGGAGGTGAGGTTAGCCTCAGACGGAGGGAGTATAGTCCAGTCTTCCAAAAGACATCTCTAGGACTCAGTGAAAATGTCCCAGTGCCTGGGAGGTACCAGGAGGGATACAGCGATGGGTTAGCTTTTCTTGTGGCTGTTAATACCGGCAAACATGAACATGCCCATGTCTAGGCTCTGTTTTGGGGGAGACAGAACTTTCCAGTTAGGAGGAGCATTCAACATAGGAAGGATAGTCAGGAGAGGCTGTTGAAATCTCTGCAGATCACTCATAGGGCCCTCAGAAGAACACAGCCCATGGGCAGAGGCTCACAGAGGGCCTAAGGCCCCACTGAGAATTGTAATCCAGGAGAACTCCCAGACCATAGCTCTTTTGGCTTTATCAGGCCTAGGAAGCAGAATCTGATTTTCATCTGGCTGTGCTCCATACTCACACCCAGCTCCAACCAGGATGCCCATCCAATCTGAGGATGCTGCTTGCCTGACAGCAAGGGGTTTGGGTCCTCCTTACCCTGTGTTTTGGACATCCGACTGCAGAGGCACCCTCCGAATCTTGGAAAGTGAGGCCAGAGGGGAACTCATAGTTGCTAATTCTAGATCCTATCTGTCAGGAGATCCCTGAAAGCAGAAAGAGAAAGAAACCTCTGGGGACATGAAGGGATTTACAGTCACTGTACTGGACCAGGGGCCTAGGGCCTCCTCCTTCACTACCCTTCCACACCTGCTCATCTCCCTGCAACAATCTCCTGAGAAGCCGCCCTACTGCCATGAGGTGCCTTTCCCCTCTTCCCTTGGCCCCGGCTGCACAGGTCACAGAAGCCCTGAGGTGGAGGCACCTGGCATTAGAGGTCATTTAGAACAAGAATTCCCTCTCTGCCCCCTCCAATGGAAGGGGGCCTATTGCTGGGTGAAGCAGCCCACAGGACTTCTGAGCTGCTCTAACTAAAAAGTGTTTCACACCTACATTAAGCCAACAGCAACCTCTCCACACTACTCTCTTGTCCCCAACACACGCACATGCACACACACACGCACACACCAGCTCTTCAGTGCTGGAAGACAGCGGTTATGTTCCTCCCTTCCCCCTGGGGGAAAAACACCACACCTAGCAATGATCGCAGGGCCTTGAACACAGGTGCCAGCATCCAATAAATACCCCCTTCCTTCCTGATGTCTTCTGAAGTTCCATTGCCACCTTGCCTCATTCGCCCCGGCTGGTCATGATCCCCTGATCTCACAGCACCTGATAGCCTTCTCCTCCCCAAATAAAGTCTCTACGCAAGTAACGTGGTGCGGTGGAAAGAACACGGGGCTGGACGTCAGAAGGCTTGAGCTGCTGTCCTCCCTCTGCCGCTGACCCCCTAAGTAACCTTAAGTGACCCCTTCACCTCTCCTCTGTAGGCTTGTTTCCCCATTTGTAAAACGGGAATAGTGAGAGTGGCGCCGTTGGAAAGAAAGGGCTGCGTCTCCCCCCACCACCACCACTGATGCTCAGCATAATGCTCTTCCACATAATAAGTGTCTAGTAACCATTTATTGAATGAATGCAGAGAAACATTATCTTCCTGTAAACTTGTGGCCCATCCTTTTCTGTTTCTTCCTTCAAATCAATTGTTTCCCTGCCCCACTCCCCACCTCACAGTCAGGTGTTTGGGGGCCCCAAGGCCACATTTTATCCTGGATAATGATCCCTTGTTAGGCAGGATGGAGACTAAAGGAGCCTACCTGCGACATTCCTCATCAGCTCTCACCAAACGTCTGCTCGGGACACAACTACACTAAACACAACAGAGAATGGGAGCGGGGGGGGGGGGGGGAGGAAGCAACAGACTGAAATCCTCCTCTAGCTTTGATTCTCATCAACAAGGAGGAATTGGCTGCTGAGAGAGAAGTGATGGGAACCTTGGGAGCAAGTGACCAGTGCGTGGTGAAGAAGGAGAGGAAAGCTGGGAATGGTCTAACACGCATTCTAGCTTTCAGGAGAGTACATTTCAAAGATTTCAAAGGAAGTGTAACATTCTCAGGGAGAAGTCAGCCCCGGAGGAATGGCGAGCTAGCAAGAATGAAATTCTGAGACACAAAGGAAAAATCAGTTCCAATGAGGAGGAGAAACAGTTGTCTCAGACCAATGTGAAGGCACAACTACCCAATCAACTTAGAGTTTAAGACATGAAGAGAAGATGGAAACATGGTAAATAACAGAAAAGGAACATAAAATCCTGGCATAGCTCTCTAAAAACTCATGAGAGAAATGGGCTGAATCTGGGCTGAATCTGGGGAGGAAACGTACAGGTGGCAAAAAGAAGGGGGTGTCTGAACTACATTAGGGGAAAGAGGAGGATCAGAGAAGGGGCAGGGTGATATACAGAATGACAACAATGGAAGACAGAGAGATGACTGGGCTGTTAAATTCTCGTTTTACTGGTTTTCTCTGGTAAGAAGAATGATCTTGGATTGAAAAGGTGAGAACAAAAGCGGCTAATGGGGGTTTGGTTACTACCCACAGCCATGGGCCTCTGCCAACTATGTTTCTTGCCAAATTCTGATCTCTGTGTACAGAATGGAGTTTGAAAATAAACTATTAGTTTTATAACATACTGAACCAAGTAGGAATGATAGCAGTTTCTTTGAAGAAGCATTATTATGAGTTTTTTGTCTAATCATGTAAAAAGTTTTGAACTCCATTGTCTAGGCTGGTTTCTAGCTTTCGGAATTAACAAAAGTTATTTATGCTGATATTTTAATAAAGAAACTGCACATTTGAAAAACAGAGAGAGAGATGAGTGCTATTCATTGTGTCCTGTAAGTTCAAGTCTCTTGACCCAGACTAACTCTATCCCAGGATCCTGAAAGTACTAGTCAATGGGATTGCTGAGCCACTATTAGTAACCTCTGAAAAACTGGAAAGCAGAAGAGGTACTGAAGGACTGGAAGAGAGAATGAAAAATGTCCTACTTTTTTTTTTTTAATAAAAGAGATGAAGACTTCAAAGGACAAGCCAGTAAGCTTGGTTTCTTTCTGTTCCTGGAAAAATTTGAGAACATAGCATGATTAGTGATTAATGATTAGTGAAAAATCAAGAAAAGGAAGTGTAGGGATCACCAAAAGCCACTGTGTCTCCTTTTTTTTTTTTTAAACAAGACCGGCTTAAGGACAAATAGTGAAGCTGAAGCTTAAATAGTTTAGCCACATAATGAGAAGACAGGACTCACTGGAAGAGACCCTGAAGCTGAGAAAGATTAAAGGCAAAAGGAAAAGGGGATGGCAGAGGGTGACGTGGATAGATAGTGTGATGGAAACAACCAACACGAACTTGGACAGACTTCAAGAGGTAGTGGGGAGAGAAGGGCCTGGTGTACTGTGGTCCATGGACTCAGGAACAGTCAGACACAACTGAACAATGGGCTGGTAAATCAGGCAAATGTTGGAAACACTACTCAGATTTTAGCAGATATTCACAAGTCCTTCAACACTATTATTGTGGAAAAGATGAAGGTAGGTGGCCTAGATTGATAAAATGGGGTTTTTGTTGTTCAGTCATTTCAGTAGTGTCTGACTCTTTGTGACCCCATTTGGGGTTTTCCTGGTAAAGATACTGAAGTGGTTTGCCATTTCCTTCTCCAGCTTATTTTGCAGAGGAGGAAACTGAGTCAAACATGGTTAAATGACTTGCCCAGGGTCACACAGCTAGTAAGTGTCTGAGACTAGATATAAACTAGGGAAGATGACTCTTTATGACTTCAGGCCTGGTACTCTCGCCACTGTACCACCTACTTGACCGTAGACTGCATTAGGAGAGAGCAAATGAAGATCCTGTCCTTTGCTCTGGTGAGAACACATCTGGAATATTGTTTCTAGTCTTATCTGTGCCCCTTTTTAGTAAGGACAGTGATAAAAAGTGGCTAGGGGTAGGGGGCACCAGAACAGTAAACAGCTTATGTCTCATGAGGGTCACTTCAACATTCTTGAAACAATACCCCCATTGTTTAATCTGGGGTAGGTGTGGGGGAGGGTACACACACACACACACACACACACACACACATAGTTATCATTAGCTACTATATTTTGAAGGACTGTCAAAAAGAAGAGGGATTAAACTGTCTTTCTTAACCCCAGAAGGTAGAATGGGTTAAAGTTGCAAAGATTCAAATTTAGGAATGAAGTAGGGAAAACTTCATAATAACTAGAGCTAGCTAAAAGTGAAATGAACTGCTGAGGGAAAAAGTAAGTTCCACCTTACTAAAGGTCTTCACAAAGAGACTGGCTGATCAAACAGGAAGTTTTTGGGTCAGGATGTTTTGAAGAAGAGATCAAACAGATTTCTTAATCACTTAATCAAAACTTTCCCCAGGTCCTATCCTCCAGACACTCATTTATGTCCAAAGCATCCTCTCATCAGCTGCATAGACTCGGTAACAGAGCAGACCCCTTGAACCAACCCAGCTCAAAAGCTGCTTCTTCCAGGAAGGTTTCTGATCACCTGCCCTAGTCAGAAGTGATCACTTCCTTTTAAATCCACAGACCCCTTCGTGATGTTATTTAGCACCTTCTTCCTACATTATGAGTGTTTGTATATCGGCCTTATTCCTTTGCAGAATTATAGAAAGCAGGGACCAGGTCATCCCCTTTGTATCCCAGGCTCTATTCCAGAGAAAGTGCTCAATAAATACTGAATTGATGGCCCTACACTAAATTCTTCTGCAGGCAGCCTACCCCAGCTAACTTCCCCAAACTCCCTCTACTCCAACAATCCAAGTTCCCTCCACCTTTCCTACACAGTACATAGACTTCATCACTACATTCCCTTGCACTTCCATAATTATGAGTGTCTTAGGTCTTGTCTTAGGTCCTCAGACTGCGGGCCTCCCCGAGCGCAAGGGCTGTGCCTCCCCTGCCAGACTTGGGGATCCCCGAGGCAGGAGCGATGCCTTCCCTACCAGACCGGGGGAGCCCCGAGCTGTCACCTCTTCCCCATTAGGTTTCCTATCTAGGAATGACATCATCACTCCGAGACCCCACCCCTCCCCCTCCTTCGGCTCTGTAGTGCCCATTCTCCTTCTCCTCAAAGCTCACTCGACCCGTTGTTATGGTAACGGAGAGCCCGGGTCTCCCCTGGACAGAACTTGGGGGAGGAGGAAAGCTCTAGAGCGCCCCAAACTCCGCTTCTGTGACTCACTCAGTCCTACTGTGAGCTCCAGGAACGGGCTCTCGGGGAGAGAGGACACCGGGCTGCTTGGGGGTCACTAGGGACAGCGAAGGCCTTGGGTTGGGGACTCACCACGCCCGGGCACTGAGACGGCCTGGCAGCGCCGCCATCTCGTTGTCAACGCGGTCACCACGGCGACCGAGGGCTCCATGACTCTTATTGGTCAGTAGAGCGGTCGCCTAGTAACGAGCCTACCGTGGGTGGGGTACAGACCTTCGTCCTCAAATCTGATTGGCGATTTCAGTGTCCGCGCTCTTTCCTGGAACTGCAAGTCCCAGACGCCACTGCTCTGGGTCTTGGCTGCTTGTAGAGGCAGGATAGGGAAACTCGATTGGACAAAAAAAAAAAATCTGTCAATCAGTTTGTTTCTACGCCCCTCTGAGAGTACTCGGGGGAAGTCCTCAAATCTGATTGGTTACAGTGGGTCCGAGCTAGTTTCGTGCGACTGCAAATCCCAGACATCTGTGTTCTGGGTCTTGCTTACCTGAAGAAAAGAGAGGTTACAGGCAACCTAACTGGATTGGATAGTCGGTCTGTCAATCATTGTGTTTCTCAGCCCTCCTCCTTTCTTCCGCCTTTCCAGTGAATTGTAGTGTGGATTCCTGTCCTTAACGCCTAATGTGGGTAGGTCTGCGTTAGAGACTCCTCTCCCATTTTAAAAAATGTGGCTTGTTAGATCAAGAAGAGAAATCACGGGTGGAAAAATACATCTTTGCATCAAGTGTGCATGATATCAATCAATCACCAAGCATTTATCAGGAGTTTACTATGTGCCAAGACAAAGGGAAAACACTCCCCGCCCTCATGGAGTTTACATTCTAGTGGGGGAAACATGATGATATCTAAAATATACAGGGACAAATATGTGGCTAAGAGTCATGTCCCAATGAACATATATGGTCAAAGGCTACAAATAAAAGTTTTCCAAAGAAGAAAGGCAGACATTCAAGGACTACACTAAAATAATGCTCCAAATCACAGATAATTAGAAAAATGCAAATTAAAAAAACAACTTAGAGGTTTCAGCTCACTACCATTAAACTGGCAAAAGTGATAAGGGACCTTCTATAAAGAGCTGTGGGAAGCCAACAGTATTCTTTTGTGGAGTTGTGATATGGTTCAAGTACTCTAGAAAGCAATTTGAAACTAAGAAAAGTTACTAAACTATAACCCAGAAGCTAGGTGTGGAAGTGGATAGAATGCCAGGCCTAGAGTCAGGAAGACTCATCTTCCTGAGTTCAAATGAAGCCCAACACATTAACTGTGTGACCCTGAGTAAGTCACTTAACCCTGTTTGCCTCAGTTTCCTCATCTGTAAAAATGAGCTGGAGAAGGAATTGGCAAGCCACTCCAGTATTTGTGCCAAGAAAATTCCAAATTTGGTCATGAAGAGTTGGACATGACTGAAAAATGACTGAACAACAACAAAAATCTTACCTCAGTATAATACACCCTAAGGAAGTGTAAGACAGAAACAAATGTGTTTATATGTGCTAGGATAGATAGATTAGATAGATAGATAGATAGATAGATAGATAGATAGATAGATAGATAGATAGATAGATAGCATTTATTAAGCACCTACTATGTGCCAGGCACTGTCCTAAACTCTGGGGATACAAAGAAAAGTAAGTCCCTGCTCTTGAAGACCTCACAATCTAATTCAGGAGACAACATGAAAATAATACGTACAAACAAGCTAAATACAGGATAAATTGGAAATAATCGAAAGAGGGAAGGCTCTAAAATTAAGAGCAATTGGGAAAGGCTTCCTGTAGAAGATGGAATTCTAGCTGAGCCTTGAAGAAAGTCAGGGAAGCCAGGAGGCAGAGACGAAGAAGGAGTGTTCCAGGTGTAGAGGAGCTTGGAGTCAGACTCTGGAGTGTCCTGTGAAAAGAACAGGAAAGAGTCACTGGATTGAAGAGTGGAGAGGTGTAGGATGGAAGAAGACTGGAAACTTGTGGGGAAGAAGAGGGGAGGGATCTTTGAATATCAAACAGAGGATTTTGTGTTTCTCCTGAGGATCAGATCGAGTGAGGAAGCTCGGGCCTCTCTACCAAATGCTGTGAATGAGAAGACAAAGGAAGGAGGGCTGACATGTCAGTCAGTGGTCAGGAAAGACTTCTGAGGGGAAGTGAAACTTGAGGCAGGCTCCAGCCAATGAGAGGATTTTGCGAGGTGGGAAAGGATTCTGAGGCATGGGGTAGGAAGAACATTTTGAGCAGAGTGCTTGAGACAGGAAATCTGAAGTCATGTATGCCAGACACATTGAGGAATTCTGTCTAATTAGGGAGAGTTTTGTGTTGGGTTTGAGTGGGAGGGGGGAGAGACATTGTGGATGGTTCATGTTTACTGAAGAATGCCACTGACAAGCACCTCTCTTGGCCTCTACCCTTGTACAAACAATAATCTGGCTTGTGGCCCTGGATGAGGGTAGCAGTCAATGCATGTTGCTACTGCACGTTGCTCGTACACGTTCATGGGGTTTGCTTCCAAATCTCTCCCCCACTCCAAGCTCCTATATTAGAATAAGGATACTAAATCTGGAAACTGGGAGAGGGGACAAATAAGAAAAGGCTGGAATGTGCAATATAAGAGCTGGGAGGGGCCTTAGAACACAGGATGTCAGAGCTGGGAGGGCCTTAGAACACAGGATGTCAGAGCTGGGAGGGACCTTAGAACACAGGATGTCAGTGCTGGGAGGGGCCTTAGAACACTGAATGTCAGAGATCAAAACTTAAGGATCATCTAGTCTAACCCCCTCATTATAGATGAAATCAACTGAGGGGAAGTTATGTCTCAGTCTAAGGCCATGAGGCTCATTAGCTGCCTCAGACTATTAGGATCATAGAAATCCCTGACAGATGTGATGAGGATGTGCTGGTTATCGGGCAAGATTTGAGGCAAGCCACACCATTCTTCTGGGCCTCAGTTTCCTCACCAGTAAAATGAAGATGACAAAACTCCCCTCTCTCCTTTGCCAGATTATTTTCAGTAAAAGTACTTTGGAATGGTTAAATCCTCTATGGAAATGCGAGTCGGTAATAGTATTAATTTTTGTTTTGGGTTCTTGAGAACAAGGTCTGTTTCCTACCTCTGAATCTCCTGTTCCAGCTACCACTGCCGCCGTCACAGGCCCTTAAAACTGGTGTTTTAACAAATTATTTCTTGAATTAAATTTGGCTCGTGGGGGCCTCTTGAAGCTGCTTTTATGACAAGGCTGGCAGACGGTCTGGATCCTCTTCTCTTCAGGTCTGGGGACCTGGGCCTTCTTCCAACAAACTCTGCCCTTGTAGGCCACTGTGACCCTACTGGAAAGCACTTCCCTTTCCCCAAACCCAGCTCAGTCTCATTGCTCTTGAGGTAAATGGGTACACAAATGAGACAGGGAAGTGAAACTTGAGGTATGAAGTGAAAATAAGAACTAAAACATAGATCTTCAACCCCTCCACCCCGACCCGCACCCACACACCCATCTATATGACCATCAGACGCATCCTCTTTCAGGGGCACACACAGAGTCAGCTGCATTTAACTCATGAGCGTTCATCTGCAAGCACTTCCCACCACACTGTCACACGGGGGGGGTCAAAATAAGGTCACTTTGACTCTAAACCCAGGACTTTTCCCACAGCACAAGCTCATAATTCGTCCCCTCCCATCCTATCGCCCCTTTTTGAATTCTGAACTTAATAAACACTAACTAAAACAAGCACTCCCAAAGACAGAGGCTTGACATGAAGTCGTGCATCTCTGCTATGACCAAAGGAGATGTTCTTTGTAAAGCCCTTAGCCTGGTACCCGGCACGTAGTAGGTGCTTATGCCCTTCCCTTGTTCCCTCACCTTTGATCGTGGATGGCTTTCCTGCCATTATCTCATTTGATTCCACATTGAACAGATTTAACTGAAACAGAAGGCGAGCAGTTTGCCCAATATCAATAGTTACATAGTCGAACCCTCTCTTTTTATTTTTCCACTTTTTTAAATGAAGTTTTATTTTTTCAATTAACAAGCATTTATCTCTCTTCCTTCCAACTCTCCCCACCTTCCTCATCAAAAGAAAAAAAAATCCCCGTAGGAAAAACGTTGTAACAAGTATGCATAGTCAAGCAAATTAAGTTCCCACATTGGCTTTGTACAAAAGTGTATTTCTGATTTTGCTTTTCTTTTGAATAAATTCAACATGTTGCTTTCAAAGCTGACCTGTTTTTCTATGACTTCTGGCTTTCCTTCTGTTTTTGTCAGTGCATTACACAAATATGTTTAATAATTCCCCTTTCTTTCTTCCTTGCTTCCTCCCTCTCTCTCTTTCTTTTTTCTTTCTTTCTTCTTTTCTTCCTCTCTTCCTTTTTCCTAATTCTCCCTTCCTTCCTTCCTCTCTTTCTTTCCTTCTTTCTTTCGCTTTCCTTTTTTCTCCCCATCCCTAGCTCCCCTCTCCTTCCTCTTCCTTCCTCCAAAGGTGGAAAAGGAAAAACAAAACCCTTACAAAGATACTCATAATCAAGTAAAATAAATTCCTACATTGCCTGTGCCCAGAAATGTATCTCTTCCTGAAGCTCCAGTCCATCCCCTTTACGTCGTCATTGCTCCTCTGGAACCTTACATACAATTCCGCTTAACAAGGGGCTCAGACATTTTTTCAGTGCTTATGGCAAACCCAAGTCTTTCATCTGATGACCAGCTGAGCTAAATACAGAGAGGCAAATCCCTGGAAGTTTGGCTACCAGAACTGTTAAGGCACAGTGTCTTAAATGAAATCCTAGAAATGCCGAGCGGAATTATGCTCTGTCCTGGGAATACAAAGGTATAGACCACACAGATCCAGCTCTCAAGAGGGTGACAATCTAAAGGGCATAGAATGGGGATGTTCACAATAACTATGATGGGGTGGAGTGGGGGGGTGAAGGGAGACTGTGACAGCTGCAAAGGAGAAGATGGGACAAAATGTCATGAGAAATTCAAGGAAGGGAAAGATCAAAAGCAATTGGGATATAGAGTAGACCAGCACTTTATGTGTGTTTAATAAAAATTGAAGATTCAGAGGGAGGTGGGATCAAGGAATTC